GTTAACCCTTAACGGTACCAATACCAGAATCCGGCAGAATTAAATTGCTCCAGAGCTCCCGCATCACCCTGAAATGCGATTGTTTCACGCACCCTTCTCGGAGGTGACTCGCTGTCCCCAGAACCCACCATAGTGAGGACACAGATGTCAAAAACGTCTGGAAAACTGTTACAATTTTAGAAAAAAAAAAATCCACAGGCTTAGTGTGGCCAAATCTGTGCTGGGGATGTTCCTCCCCTGGCTCCAGCGAGCGTGCCGGGGCTGAGCGGGGTCCCTCCCTGGTTAGTGAGGGCTTTTGGGGGGACGCTGCTGGGCTGAGCATTGCCCTGAGCACCAGCCCTTCCTCCTGTCCTGTCCTGTCCCTGCTGCCTCCACCTGCAGCACCCCTCTTGTCAGTAGGGGTGCAGGTCACCAGGCTCAGCTGTGCTCTGGGGAGATGCTTTCCCACTGGAAATGGGACCAGCGCTGTGCAGGAGTGCTCTGGAGGAGCTCCATGCATGGAGCAACCTTCAAGTCTTCTGCAAGACTGGAAAACCTAAAGAGCGACCTCTCTGAAGACCTCTCTGAAGACCTCTCTGAAGACCTCTCTGAAGACCTCTCTGAAGACCTCTCTGAAGACCTCTCTGAAGACCTCTCTGAAGACCTCTCTGAAGCCTCTCTGAAGACCTCTCTGAAGACCTCTCTTACCCACAGGAGAGGTCCTGAGGCCAAGGGGGTGTTTATCTCCCACAGTTGAGGTGTGGGGCTGTGGATGGAGTTGGTCTGTTCAGTAAATGCTACACCATCTCGAGAACCAGTGCTTCCATCCTCATTGTCGGGACACCAGTTATTCTGCTGTAATGTACCAGTTGGCTCATTCCCACGTGTAGCCAAACCTTTTTTTCCCTGCCTAAAGGAGATGTGCTCCCTGTCTGGGCATTTCTCCAAGCTTGCAGCAACCCAGGTTGGCACCTGGAAATGTGCTTCTGATGAGAGAGGTGAATAAGCACCCCATAGCTGGTGGCTGTGTTTTCATCCGCCATAAATTCTCTGCCGAAAACAAACTCCTACTTAAACGTATCTTCTGGAAGTGCTGCTGGCTGGTCAAAGCCAGATAGTCCTGTGACTTAACCAGTAAAAGTCAATCTTTGTCCAGTGTCATGGACATCAGGAGCTGGTACCTGCAAAGAAAAGGCTGAATGGTCTCTGCAGAGCAAAAGTGACATTTTTGGTGCAAAAACCTTTCTGCCCACTTCTTTTTAGGTGATCCTGATTCTTTCTACCTGATTAGTTAATTCCTAATAACTTGCAGCGAGATCAGAAGATGAGGAAAAGATCAACCTTTGTTTCTCCTCAGGTGTCCCTTTCTCTCAAGCCCTTGGTCTCCACATGTTCAGCATGACTCAAATGGTCCTGAGTTCTTAGGAGGCTTAATATGAAATGGAAAAAAGTAACTAAGTGCTGATGTCTGGGGTGCTGAGGAATATCCAGGGCCTTACTGAAACTCCTGGGTTGGTCTTCGGAGTGGTGGGTAAAAGGAAAAGTTGGACCATGATGGGTGATGGCAGGGGTTGGGCAGCTGAAGGCTGGCATGCCGGTCCTGGCTTCCCAAGATCTGCGTGGAAGGTTCAGATGGTGTGTCCTGATGGAAAAGCACATAGTTGCAAAAAAGATTGTAGTTTTGGGGATATCTTTGAGCCAAGTCCGTAGGGGAATGCAGAGTAGAAATGGGGAACTTGGAGCCCAGCTCCTGCCCCGTTTGCAGAAACCAAATGTCATGTGCTGCTGTCCTGGCAGCCAGGCTGCCTGCGGCATGGGCCCTGGAAAACCTGGGGACCTTGCTTGTCTGGAAGCACCTGGAGTGCCATGGACCTGCCTAAGATAGGAGCTTTAGCACAGTGAGACTGCATCGACTCACCCCTCTGCCACTTAACATTTCTTCTCCAGCTGAGAGCTCCTGTGCTGTCCCCCCTGGAAGCTGGCAGGAGGGTGATGGCTCTGTCTTTGCTGTGTTAGCAGAGTGCTGAGGGTGGTGGTGAGAGGATGTGGAGGATGAGGTCTGACACCAAGGTTGCGCTTGCATGTCGTGACTGCTCCTCTCAGTCTGAAGAGGAAACCTCAGCTCTGGGTTCTACTGAGCAGGGTGGCTGAAGCCTCCCTCCTGGAGAAGCAGGATTTGGGCACTGTTGGTAGAGCTGCTGCTCCTCTGGTCCTGTCTGCAGGAAATGAGCAGTAGCCAGTTCCTTTTAGTTTTTCAGGAACAGAGATCAACTTGCTTTGTAACCCATCTCAGTGAAGAATATTCTATTTTTATTTCAGACATATGACAATGTTTGTTTTGATGCACGAGAAGCTTCATTTTAAGGCTGTCCTGTTAAGTAGAACTTGCTCAGCAGCATGTGTGGAGTCCTTGAGCTGCTGTGCCCAGATGGGAGAGGACCTAGGAAGGTAGCAGGGAGCTGGGATGCAGCTCCATCTGACTATGTACATATTATATAAATAAATGCATATGCAATGAGGGATCCAGGGAGTGCCAGATGGAACAAGCAAGTACAGGAAAGCAGATGTTGCTGTTCAGACTCTATTGGCCGCTCAGGAGTAGGGTTTATAAAACAGACTAAATAAAATCTTGTCCTCTAACTGCTTCTTTGCCATGACATCCTTGAGGCTGGCAGGATGGATGGAGGCTCTCGGCCAGCGGCAGGTGGGTGTTGATGTGGAGGTGGGAAGGGTTTGCTGGGTAGGTTGCACTGCACTGTGGAGATACCTGCTCAGGGGTAGGGCTTGGAGGATCTGGGCTTGAGCAAGGGGCTTGCAGAGCCCTGCTGCTTGTGGGTGGCACAGCCTGGCCATGAAACCTCTAAAGAAAGATGAGACATTTCAGGGAAGCCTCTGGCAGCTTTTCTTCTCAACTCCCTGGGGCAGCAATCTGTGCACAGTCAGAGAGAGCTGCTCCAGGGCAGGAGAGCCGTTGTGGGGCTACTGAGTTGCAGTGGGATAATGCCCTCATGCCTCCACCAATTAGTGGATCAAACCTGCTTCCATAAGCTGGTAGGGTTACTTAACCATGGTGAGGACTTGTGCTTGCAGAGGAAGCAACAATTATGGTGGAGCACACCCAAAATAAATCCTCAAGAAGGAACAGGCTCTGGGCCATAAGGTAGCCCCCAGAAGGCAGGGAGGGAATGGAGACAGATGTGCCCAGGTGTCAGCTCCTGGGCTGGGGAGCTTGTGAGGACTTCAGTCACGTTTGGGCTTGCCAGCTCCTGGGCTGAGGAGCTTGTGAGGGCTTAAGTCACGTTTGGGCTCCTGCAGGCATATCCCAGCAAACAGGACAGTGATATAGAGACCAGGATTGTGCGTTGCCTTTGACCTGCCTTATGACCAACTGTGAGTCACCACAGGACAGTGGCTGAGAGGAGGCAAAGGTGTCCTGCACAGCACTGTGGGGACGCAGCTGGGTCACCATCCCAGTTCTCTATCTGTGTTTTGGGAATCTAGTGATCCCTCCCTGCCGCTACCCAAACAGCTGGGGTGTGCCACCCCTCCCAGCCCTTGCCAGCTTCTGGTTGCGTGGAGCTGCCAAACCTGGCAGACGAGCGGAGGCCTTCGGGCAGGGCTGTTTGTGCCAGGCAAGTCAAACATGCAGAGCTGTGAATAATTCAGTGCTGGCTTGTCTAACACAGAGCGAGCCTCCGGCACATCAAAACAGCTCTGGAATCCTGTGGGTAGGATCTGGAAAATTGAACCTGAATAAATAAGCCTACAGACATCCTGTGGCATGAACTTGATGTTGCGTACATAAGAGTTCCTGGTTTAGAGCTGGCTCAGTTTCAGTCTCCATAACATGCCTGGATCCTCTGGAGAGCTCCTGCTGGAACTGCCACCTTCAGTGGAGCTGAGGGTGAATGTGCTCGGCTGCAGCCACCAAGCCCAAGAGTTGTGTCTCTTTACTCTTTTTTTCTTTTTCCCTTGCAGAATGTCAGGATCGACCCCACCAGCATCTCCTTCGGCATGTGGAAAGACATTCCAGTTCCTTTCTACATGTCAGTGTACTTCTTTGAAGTGCTGAACCCCAAGGAGGTCCTCCAGGGAGCGAAACCAGTGCTGAACGAGCGTGGACCTTACGTTTACAGGTCAGGCACCACTGGTGGTTCACCTAGACCAGAACCTGGCCACTGTGCTGCCTGCCTTGCTTCTGGGTGACACCTCTGGCAGGAAGGCATGACTTTAGTATACTTGGTGCAAGTCCAGTGATACAGGATTTTAAAGTTACACAAATGTGCTTTAATTGCTCTGATCTTGCTAAAGCCACAAGTAGGACCTCTGGTCGCTGGGGTGGTAGGGTGCTGGTCTGTGCTTCACTGAGTTGTGGAACTCAGTCCTGTGCTGGGATCTATCAGGCAGTCAGACCTGGGCTGATATGGTCCAAACATAGGCATGAGGGGTGTTGGTGTGGTGGTGGGCAACCCTCATCTTCAGAGTGGACTTGTTTCATCTTCACTGTACATTTAAGAGTCCATCTCCAGAGGTGGAGTCACCTCAATATCAAACTTCATGGACTGGCCTAAGACCTCTTACCTAACATGAGACCCAGAATCTCCCTAACATGAACACTCATGAGAACCGGTATGGAGCAGGAAAACTTGCTCAGGCCCCCCTACAGCAGGGCTGGGTCTATTTGCCATGGCTGAGGATGGTGGTTGAAGCCCCAGATGCTTCTCTGGACCTGAAATCTGAAGTGATGGTTGATGCTGAGTGTGTGAACTTACCCATCAATAGCGATATTCAACACATTAGTGCCTACATGTGTAGGCAAAGTGAGGTCAGCAGCCTAAGCAAGCTCACGTGGGAAGATTACTGGTTTAATCCAAAGCTGTTTGAGTGGTGGTGGGGGGAAACCTGGCAATATGTATATGCCCTTGTTTCCCTGGGCTCACCAGGTCACACCATCAGGCCATGCGGATTCTGTATGTTGAGATCACACCAGTCACCTGGCTTGGGGAAAAGGCTTCATTTACCATAAATAAGAATAAACAAAGGGGCAAAGCTTATTAGTGTCCTTGTGTTCCTG